CGTCAGATTTTCACTTGCTGCTGATCCCGGCAAAAAAAGTTACTGTAAAAAAATGGAGTTGACGCTTCAATCGTGTAATTTTATGTTTTGGCAAAATCAACTAGATGTTTTTTTAGGCTAGAAAAATGAAAGACAAAAAAAAAGTTGGCAGAGCAGTTCTGAATGGCTGTCAGCTATTCTCTGACGCAATGCAAGTAGGTTCCTACTGGAAATCAACGTTGCAAGTGATTGTACAGGTGGCACTGTTCTTTCTTCCAACTAGCTGTAGCCGAACACGTTCTGTAGAAACCTGTTACTACAATCACACTTAGACTTCTGCATAGAGCATGAAAATTTAACCAACAATTCATCAATAAATCTCCCAATCAAACTAATTGGTTTAATAAAGAAAAATTTATTCTCACAGCATGTATAATAATGTCTGAATAAATAACGGCTTCTGTGTTTACACTTTTTACATGCAGAAAATGGTTTCGGCTTTTGATTAATTTCATTATGGTCGCATTCGCCTCGAGGTCCGTAGTTTCACGACCTTGAGTTGCGTGCCTTTCAATTCTGAATTCACGAATACCCAAAAATTCAACTTTCTAACAAAAGTCTTTTTAGTTCTAAAATTTCTGTGCAAAACCCTCTCACGAGACTATTTTTAAAATCCAAGGATGACGATAAGAAGCGCTCAAAAGGATCACCTTCGTGCTTACAAAACCTTACAAATCCTTCTGCAATCTGCGTGGTTACAGCAATTTTTTGTACATGTCGCAGATCTGCTGAGGTTCTTGCCCAGTGAATTGAGAAGCGGCATAGCATAGTTGTCAAAATAAAATTTTCTCTCTTCAATATTTTAGAGGATCTTTCGCATTTAAGCCATTGACTTTGGCGCCGTATTTTGACAAAGGGTTGAAAGGGTTGCTATATATGGATTTATAGAGGAAGCCCTTGGTTTCTGAAAAAGCACCAGATTTGCAGAAATCTCTTCGAAGTTCATGCGGCTTTGAAATGAACATATGGAAACGCTCTCTGAGTCTAAACTTGAACATAAGATAGTTTACAGTCCCACATTAAGTTTCAAAAAAGGAGCAAGATTGTTTCAAAGAAGCTTAGATTCAAAGAAGTGATAGCTAATCTTTCTAATATCCTGAGAGGTGCTGCAGCCATAAAGGCGCGACTTTTGGAGAAAATCGCAATTGTTACTGCGCAAAGATCACAAAATCACAAAAATCACATAGATCACAGAAATCAAAAATAAAAAATCACAAAAATCACTGAAAATGAAATACGGTAAAATTTGCGCGTGAACAAGTATTACCTAGCCACGCCAGTAATTCCAGCCTTTTGCGCGCGCAAGTGGCCGGCGTTACGCGCAGCTATCTGTTCGAGCAAATTTTACCGCATTTCACCTTCAGTGCAAGCACACTATATTGAGCGGAAAATCTATTCAACTGTACATCATAAGATTTGGTACAAAACGATCACTTTAGCCATTCTAAAAGCATTCCGCTTTGAGTGCTTCTCTTGATCAACTTTTATGTCTTGACAAGCCTACACTGATTGTTCATTAAGAGCTACTCGAAAGTACTTTGCAAATCCGCTGCTTAGAGGCAGGATCGGCAGAATGGATCCCTGTCAGATTTTGATACCGTTAGGTAGCAGGCCTCCCAAGTACACCGTGGCCCAAACCCCACTCTCCAAATCACGCGCTAAGTTCTGTAAAAGCTTCAAACTTCCACCAATAACGCACACTCAATGGAAGTGAGCGTGGCTGGTGGATGAAGCTTTTTTACAGAACTTAGCGCGTAATTTGGAGAGTGGGGTTAAGGCTACGGTGTACTTGGGAGGCCTGCTACCTAACAGTACCAAAATCTGACAGGGTCCATTCTGCCAATCCCTGTCCACTGCCTTTAAATAAATATGATCGAACGACGATGCTGAGAAATCAAAATGTAAAATTGTTTTGAAGGCTTCGCCAAATTAGTAGGTTAAGATTTTTCGAACAGTGTCAAAATGTCAATGCAAGAGGGTGTCAACCTTAGCTTCGGAATTGCGTCAGTACGTTCAATCATACACTGCTTATGCAGCGTATTATGTAGCAGTGGCGTACCCAGATTCCGTTCGGGGGAGGGGGAGAAATTTTATCCTCCAAAAATTTTTTCGGTATGCTTCCTAAAATTTCTGTGGGTCCCCCGAAAAAAAATTTTTATAAGGCTAAAATGAATTTTTAAAAAATTTCAAAAAAATATTTTATTTATTTACTAGTATAAACAAGTCAGTGTACGCGCTCGACACGAGCTGGCTTTCCGAAAGTGCAAAACGAGGTCCCTCTTGACTTTCCCAAAATCTTACGAAGTTCCCTTTGTTCTAAACTTTAAACGTAAACAACCCTATGAAAACGAAACGTACCAAAAAATTGTATTTTTCGGCCACAAAAACGATATCCAGCTTGCCTATAAGCCATCTGTGCCGAGCTCTGCGGTATACCCGTTAAAGTGCACCAAAACTTACTACCGTGAAGGATTGATGAAATTGTGTAGTAAATGAGGTAACCAAATTCTGGAAGTATTCGGCAAGTAGTGTCGTCTCAGTTCTTCACAGATGATGTGAGCTGACGGTCTTACATAATTTTCATTTTTTACAGCCGCTCACGCTAACGTTCTATGGATCATTTCTTCACTATTAAATAGTAAGATGGTTATGAATACAAAGTTTTTGCTGCAGTCCGGCTTGATGATCTAGGCGTTTTTGTCCGACAAATTTATTTCCTGATCTTAGTCTTCTCTATAAAAACTTACCCATGAAATAAAACAGCAGGAAACCTTATTTGCAAGCTCTTACCTTCCATCACCTTTGATGTTTATGCACTGTGCGTTTTTAATAAAAAGGAAATACTAGCCGATCAACTGCCATGAGATTGATCAAGTTAGCATAGAGCTGAACTTGAGTCTTAAGACAAAGTTACGTAGCATAACGAGCACGTGGGCTTGATCAACACTGCTTGCAATGTTTGGAAATTTTTTCTTTACAATTTTGCCATTGCCTTTCCAAATATGGAAAAGACATGTGCGAAGCATTATGAGTTAGCGATGTGCAGATGAACACAGCTTCAACGTCAACGCAAATTTGTGAATCATCTGCTCATTAGTAAGATAAGTTTATACACTAATGAATGAAATTTGTAAACAATCACATCACTTTGTTATATTTCTTATTGAGGAAAAATTAAACATCAACGTGAGATGGGTGGTGAATTCCAGAACAATGCCGTCAGCATTTCTTGATACTGAATTCTTGCAGCGTTATTGTAAAAGTTATGTGAATGTGGGGAGATACAGGGACGCGAAAGATGTAGGAAATTGCCACAACATTACTGGATGATAAACAAAATGGCATTCCTAAAATTTACGAAGATTTATTTAAATGGCTGTCAATGTCACTATTCAGTCGCCCCTTGTTTAATTCAACTTGTAAGTGTACAATTATTTAGTCGCTTCGAAAGTTCTTTCCGTTTTTCATCCTGCCATGAAAACAAGTAAAATTAAGGTAGACAAATGCTTCAAGCACTAACCGACGCTTTTTCGTCCTCTTTCCATCAGTCATGTTTTGGGACCATTCGCTTTGGTGGTCTCTGAGATGATTGCCGAAAATTGGAACCCATAGTTTTCACCATGCTCAACAAGTTTTCAAATTATTTTGAACTTTTGAAGAAGCTTCGATTGCATTTAAATAGCGTAAACAAAGTGCAGTGCAATCCAATTTCCTCGCATCTCCACTTAGTTCTTACAAGGGAACGGTCAGAAGTCGAAGTGGCCAAACCAAACAAGCTGTATACCATTCGATGCAGTATAAAACGCTGATTTCGAATCTGTCATTCTTATCTGCTTCCCGCTTCTGTGGACGAAGCTACAAGCCATTGAAGACCATTATTTTGCTAAGAAATTACGCGTGAAATGGAAAATTTAGCCGTGCAGAGCCACGTTCGCCTTAACGCTGGGCCAAAACATGCGTCTAGCCTAATTCAAATTTCTAAAGAAAGAAACTGAGCTCAAAGTGCAACAGTGTGCTCAATTTCGCTGTATTCATGTGTGATTTTTTCACAATAAAACCGCTTGTAGCTTCATCCACAGAAGCGGGAAGCAGGTAAGGAAGACAGATTCCAAGTCAGCGTTTTATACTGCATCGAATGATATACAGCTTGTTTGGTTTGGCCACTTCGACTTCTGACCATTCCCTTGTTAGTATCTTCTAGGATAACTTTTTCAAAAGTCTTCATTTTTGCGAAATCGCAAAATACACAAACGCTCCAACTAGCAAATCGCTGGAATTTGAAACTTTCAAATATCGATTTTGATAATACATCGATTTTACAAAGCATCAGAGGCCGCTTTGAATTATCAAATCTCGCATTCTACGGGTTCAGTGAGGCGGGTTCAAAAGTTTCGATTTTTTTATTATGACGCCAGACACTCCAAGAAAAAACGCCTATAGGAAAAGAAAAAGACGCATCGAATGACACCTTATATGCTCACTTTGATGGTGAGTTTTCGAGGAATTTGATAGCATCACAAATAATTTGATAGCATACAAATATAATTTCAAAAATTTTGGAAAGCCAGCTATAGGGTTTTAAAAAATTTCAAAAGCGGAATTTGATAGCATCAGAAATATAATTCCAAAAATTTTAGAAAGCCAGCTATAGGGTGTCAAAAAAATTTCATTGCATTGTGCTTTGCTTACATTATGTAAATGCTATCGGCTTCTCCAAAAGTTCAAAATGAAGATTTAGAAGTTGGGCATGGTAAAAACCATGCCCAACTTCTAAATCTTTAAAATTTCGGCAATTATCTCAGAAACCATTGATGCGAATGGTTCCAAAACATGACCTATAGAAAGAGGGAGAAAAACTGCGTCGGCTACTGCTTGAAGCATTTGTCTACCTTAATTCCACTTGTTTTTATGACAAGATGAAAAAAAGGAAAGAAGTTTAATACCGACCTATTACTATTTCAGATTTTGCCAAGTTCTTCTCATTATGACATCACTACGAACTTTCGTCATTCTCTCTATTCTACTTGTTGATGTCTCGGCACAGTTGTTCAAGGTTATTAAGTCTTGTGCTTACGAATATGTACTCAAACAGTCGTTACAGTGCTTTTCCAAGTGTGATGCAGATTGGCATTATCTCAAAGACAAGGCTGAGTGTATGCTAAAATGTCCCAAAAAGGAGATTGAAGAGGTAAAATGTCTCTTAATACGACTATATTAATTGTAGTAATAAAGAGCATTATTGCATTTTTTCGTGGCTTCAGCACGAAAACTAAAAAATATGCCAGTTTCCTCTTTAGTAAATCATTTTTTAGTGCAAAAATCGATGCAGAGCTAAGAGTTGGCCTATCGACGGAGTGTGCTTGGCTGGCATTCCGCTCACATGTCTGGCTTTCTTGTAAACCCTCGGTTAATTATGTTGTGCATCACTGCTTGAATAAACAATTTAAGCATAACGGAGTTTCAAGAATACGTCATCGATGTATCGGTATAATTAATTTACGTTCAACTTCATTCTGTAAAAAGTAAGCCAATTTTGAACTTTCTTCTGCGAGCTTCACAAAATTCAACCGTCTACACTGTCTCTCAAAAGATAATTGCATTTCGATCATTTGCTATAAATGAATTTGAAAGCCTTTTCAAAAAAAAATTAATCCAGCATGAAATTAGTTCCGCGAAAGCTGATGATTTAGATATCTTCAAATGATCATCCCGTCCAAAAAAGCGCGGAAATTTGTGTGGTTTTTTCCTTGAGAGAAGTCCACGCCTTGATGTAAATCAAAATAGTCGAAAAATGGAACGGAAAGTATATCCAAAGAAAAACTAGACATTAGCATTCAGCTCGAAAGAAAGGCTATTCTGAGCTAATGGCAGTCATGTAGTTGAGGGAAGCATTCGATTAGGAAAATGGCGCACCGATCTGATTGGAAAACTTAGTCTGGAAATAATTAGCGGTTTTTCGGTTTAGACTTTCTGTAGGTATTTTCTCGACTCCCTGTATAGCTTAACCAAGGATAAAATGAATCTATTCGATTGGAGTTTCAAACGACTTCGAAGGAGTAGGAATTCAGAAAAAGTTTGCATGATAGTCAAGTTATAAAGAAGAAACGAAAAGAAACATAGATGGTTTTCTTTGTTTTATGCTGAATACTTGTACTGACTGTATCTACCCAACCAATCCTTGAAGATACATATTACCATTAATAGAAATGAAGCAAAAACTTGTCTAAAGGTGCAGAGCAATGACGCTGACTGCAGCAAGGATCAAGCTTTTATTCTCTCGGCTAGTTCTATTAGGCAGGGGAGCAAGAGATGTGGCACACAACGCCGGATACAACCTCAAACCTCCATTCTGTCTCGTCCTCCCCCCTCCTCCCCACTCCCCTCGGTATTGTCGGGTGCACACCAACGTAACATTGAGGGTATATCAAGCCAAATTGATAATTAGCATGTATCCACTATGGGAAAGTACGGATAATAACTTCTTGAAAAACGTTTGTTGAGATGAAATCCTACAAGAGGTGCCATTTTTGTTCACAATGCCGCCAAACCACATGTGTAAGAAACTTGGCTGACAAAAAAAAAGGGTTGACTGCGCACCAAGCTTCTATCCCTGCTTTGAACTCTTCAGGACTTTCTTTATCAATCAACATTTTTTCTAATTCTTTGCCTGCCTATCCCAAAATAGTAGGGTAATGAATAAAATTAGTCGAAAACGTTTTTTTGGCTTATTGGTTCCTCCAAGATCTATTCACAAGAGGAAGCATAACAGCACTTAGGAATGCGTCAAAGATGTGCTAAAAACATCGAAGTTTATTTGATGGAAAGAGGTAGGATCTAGATAGAGTTGTGCTTGTTTGAAAGAAAAAAATTTGTGAGTGACCTAATATTAAGCTGTATAGAAAGTGCCGATTCCTTCCATAATTACCTGTCAAGGGATTTTCTGGAATGTGTTTTCAATGTGCGAAGGTCCCAGCTACCAAATACGTTATTCAGCTTGAAAAAATCAACGATAAACTAAGAAAAGAAACTCAAAAAGGAAAAAAAATTCATTACGCACAGGTTTGCGAAAAGGCACGTTTTCGGATAATAGACGCACAGAATATGGAAAAGCTTGATTTGAAAACCCGTTTTATACCCTTCTTATTGGCTAGGTGAAACGATATCCGAGTAGTACTTGCTTCAGTGCGTGGATCTTTTTCCAAACAAGAAATAACTCATTTTACTATTCAAAAAATTAAATTCTCTACGTGTTACGAAACGCATCCAGCGCGCTTCTTGGAAAGACATCCATGGTATAGCTAATCACTAGCATATGGTTGTCAAAACATATGTATTGTATCATAAACAGCAATAAACAGACAAATTTTTGTTAGCAGAACTTTTTCACAATCTAGTAGCATAAAAAATAAAGAGCTGAACATTTCCACCAACAATGCAACACATAATGCAAAGCAAAAACTCAAAAAACGCCACAGATCTTATTGTATCACTTGATAGTTTGTATGAATAGGAAAGTGCAAAGTCGAAAACGATGACAAGTCACAAAAAAGGGATACGATACTTAGAGATAGGCAAGTGAACAGATGGACAGGAGTAATTTAGCAGAGTAGAAAAACAAGGTGATATGTGACACAAGAATGGTTCTATCCCGGTAATGAAAATCTTCAGTAGGTAAGTTCAGCAAAAAATTAGCAGAGCAGTTTGAAGTGATATCATTCGAGCAAATCGGCAGGATCCCTCTTTCAGCAGAATCTGCCCGAAAATATTTGGTTAGCTGCCTTTATAAGCTAAGCTATGATGAAAAATTGAACAGTCAAATGTAGAATGCTTTTGCTTAGAGCTTCTCTTCTATTTCTACTAGTGATTTCTGTAGCGCGAGCAGATCTTAAGGTATATTGAAAATTGCTGCTTACTTTTTCTTCTAGACTTGTAACGTTACAGTGTCTCAAAACGTGCAAGGAGTACGTTAGATATTGGGATAAAGAGCAGTGTGCACGCGAATGCGACGCGCAGACGTTGCGTTGGGTAAGAAAAGCCTTTACTTTTATTTCTTAACTCCTGCATCGTTGTCTTTTAGTGCCTGAATCGCTGTGAAACGTGGCCAGATAGGAGCGATGTACCTAAATGCATAAAGACCTTCCCGTTGTCTTGCTTAGAATTTGTGCTCTGAATAGAGTTCGAACGATAAAGATTTTCTCAGCCATATCATTGTACTTTTGTAATTACCATGTTGAGTTTGTTCTCTGCGAGTCAAAAACAATCATAAGATCCTTTGAGACATGAAGTGTTACTTGCTTAGAAAAAAAAGGAAAAAGGAAAGGAAAGAACCTTTTGATGGCTCAACTTCTGTGAGATACAATTCAAGCAAAAGCGGAAAAGGTAACCTTTGAATCTGAAATTTAATATAAAAATCATATTTGGAGGTGTACTTTTTTCGAGGAAAGAACAATGCATCAGACAGCGCCAATGAAATTTCTTTAAACAATACTGACTAATAACTGACTAAATAAAATCGACTAATCATAGATTTGGACTCAGTGAAGAATTGCATGTATTAGATAATCTCTTATGTTGGCAAGATTGCCCTCACAAGGAAAAGGTACTTGGCGATCGTGGCCATTTATAGTGTAAGTGTTGAAACACCTGTGAAGTGGTTGAAACTGTTTTCTATATCAGCGAAACAACAACGTGGATTGAATTATGGTGATTTTCTAAGAGGTACAAGGCACTACTGCGGAGGAAAAAAAAGTTTTCGATACAAAATTTTCTTGAATTTTCGAGTGCTAGATTTGAGGTAGTTGGTCTATATACTACAAGGTGTCCCAAAAAATGTTTAGAACGTTTGATTGTTAATATCTCTCTTCCCAAGAAGTCTTTTGCCTTGCTTCAGGTACCGTTTTGCAGAGCTGGCTTCAACTTAGATTTCCATTATAGAACGAATCACTCATCTCTCTTCACTACTGTAGGGTTACGGTAGAAACTTCAAAGAGGGTTTTGAACCATGAAGGGCCATATTTTGCCTCAGAAAGGAAACAAAATAGCCTGAAAACTTTTACACCAGGCTAATTAGCATTGCTGATTACAACTGTAAATTTCCCAACTTATTATGATGCTTTATTGAAGAGTTATGCCAGGTGAGAGGTAGCGGCCTTTTTTTCAATGTTCCTAGGAAGTGCGATTACACCGTTTAGAAAGCTTCGTAATCTTGTGAATAGTTGAGTATTGAACTCAGCGTCTATAAAAACCCTATTACATAAGTTTTCACAATTTTTTGAAAAATTTTGAAACGGCAGCTTTTTCCACATTGACACCATATGTTTCAAGTTTCTACCGTAATCCTACAGTAATGAAGAGAGGTGGGTGATTCGTTCTATAATGGAAATCTAAGTTGAAGCCAGCTTTACAAAACGGTACCTGAAGCAAGGCAAAAGACTTCTTGGGAAGAGAGATATTAACGATCAAACGTTCGAAACATTTTTTTGGGACACCCTGTATATTCTTTACATGATTTTTTCTATAGTAGCAGACATCACTAGATCAACCCTGCGATTTTCGATTTTCAAAGTCCACAAATCTTCCTAGAAAAAAGAATATTTGCAACTTTCTTTATAAGATTTCGCAAATAGTGCTTGGGAGTCAGCATTATGAGATGCATCTTGTAGTGTACATTTTATTTTGAAAGGCATGGTGGCCGAATTACCTTTACTTGTGCGACATTTTCAGGCCAAGTTCATTCATGATTTGATGCATGCGCAAAGGTACAAAATTGCTGTTGTAATTTGGCATGCATATAGCTAGTACTTGAGCTGAGAAGAGAGGGTCAATAGAGTTTGCCATCTATTGCTTAGCTCATTCTTGTTATTTGTAAGTGTGTGTGTGTCATCAGTGATGTGCAGGCCCTGCGCTGGCGACAATTACCTATCCGGGAGAAGCTTTACAGCTGTATTGCAGTTAGAGATAAGAGTGAAATGGTTCCTGCATCGCAACACATTCCCTTCTCATTTTATATAAGTTAGGTCTTTCAACATGTCAAGCACTGTTTTCAAGCATGTATGTATGTGAAAAGAGAGCTGAAATAGCTTCCACACTGTGCATGGTTTTTGAAAGATAAACCAGCAGTAGAGGACTCCCCTACTTTCGAGTATACCATAAACCGTACCACCGCCTATGCAAAGTGGTGAACTATTAGTGTTTCTTCTACAATTTAGTTGAGAAACACTTGTCAAAAAGTTTTTATCAGTTTCTGTTATTACTGTTATGGTATTTCCTAAAAATCAAATGCATGAATGGTAATTAGAACAAAGGGAAATTATAGATTCATTACGATCATTCTTCACCGGAATAGGACAGCTGTTATAACATCAGAAGTAGCAAGTGACGCAGGAAAAGCCTCCGCAAGGGGACTGCAAGTCTAAGCCAACTCTTTGACAAAGAACGCAAGGAAGGCAAGATTATGAATTTGCTTGATGGCTTGCTAAAACAAAAGACGGGTTTTTTTGTAGTAGGTAATTAGTCAACAATCAAACGTTCTACCCTACCCAATAGTTTGTGATCTGTAACAGAATTTTACTATTTGGCACGTCTGTTGAAATTTCAATCATGACACCCTTATGGATTGCGAAAGTAAGGTGAGCACTAAAAATTTTTCGTTATAAAGTTCTGCGTGTTTCATCACCATTTGTGACCGCTGACTTGGATTTTCTCTTAGGGGATGTGATTTCTTTTTCTGGTAAGACAATTTATAGACTGAACTCAATAGATTCATTTGATATAACATTTTTGTGCATCACTGGCATAGGGAGTAACAGTCCAGCTTCTTATGTTCAGGATTCAACCTAGACATGGAGAGAATTCTAGCGGTAAGTCACCTTAATGTGTTGATTGATAATGTGGCGAAAGCTATTGAGCCATGATAAATGTGATAACCAAATTAAAATTGCATTCTGGAATGTACGACCTCGATGAACCCTCTTCATGATAGAATTACGGGGCAGTCGAAAAATCGTGAGGATGGTGCGATCGTGCGCGACACGCACGCTTTCCGACATTTTCTTGGTTTACGTCTTTAGTAAAATGGCTTTTTTCGTATGGTAGTACTTAGGCGCTGGAAATGACTGACAAGAGGACTATACTCTCGGTTTCCGTGGCCTTTTAAGATAAGATCTATACCATTACATTCTTCTTGGAACGCTGATATCCGAATCCAACTTCCTTTCCTGCTAATCGTTTTTCCGAAAAAAGTTATAAAGAATCTTCGCGCGTTGGCCATTAGCGCTGGTACGGATGAGGCTATGCCTTTTTTGAGAGTGTTTTATGCTCTCGTGAGCACATTGCAGTTAAATCTGTTCGACACTATTTCGAAAACGACCTCTTTTTTGGGTTGTTTGTAAACCGAGACCGGGATTGATTAGATAAAATACTCCATCAGCTATCGTCTTGGCAGATCGCATTCTTCAGAACCTGAAAGTTTAACACGATCTGTATTCGACAACGTCTCTGCAGCAGAGTGAGTAAGCTCAGGACTTTTGTTGGACCACTAGCTCATCTGATTAATGCTCACTTTTCAGGGCACACCGACGGAATTTGATGGACTACTGGATTACACTAGGCATTCCTTTCTCGACTTTTGAGTTTTTCGCATAAATCCCAAAAGCAGTCAATTGGCACACCCACTTCAAACAAAAAAGGCTGCAATTAAAAACATTTCCCGCGCAGCACTCCGTGGACAGCGGGAGGACAACGGGAAAGGGTGAAATCATCGACGCTTGCTCGTAGCATAGCTTTTTCCAACGATTACGAGAATTATGCAAGGGCATCTAGGAGTAAGAAACATTGGAAAAAGATAACATTGGAGAAACATTGAAGAATCACAACAGCAGCGTTCATTGGTAAGCGAACAGTCAGCAGTCGAAAAGACAGCCTTTTGCATCCCCTTCTCCAATGAAGAAAGGACTGCATTACGACAGCGCCTGAGGAGAGCAGTGCTGCAATACAAAGATTTGCATAGGAGTAATTTGAAGAGTCTTTTAATTTGCAATCGTCTTTCATTGCACTAGTATCCCGCCAAATTGCACTATGTGCCTTAGAGCAGACAAGGTAATTGCACGGCCATCGGGATCACCTATATTGATCTCCTGCGGCGAGTGTGGCGAGTAATACTTAGGTGAGACGGCGCGCCCGTTGTGTATTAGCATTGAGGAACACTTGGGTGACAGTAATAGACCGGCACATTCACTCCTATGGGCACTCAAAGCTAGATGTGGTGACAAATTTGTAGTTTTTGCGAAAAGAACAAAATGAATTGCAAGGGGAATGCTTAGCGATCACACGCAATTCGCGCTCTGCTAAGGTCTGCTCTTCTGACCTAGTTTTCTATATATAGTGTCCTATATGCGGTCAGTAGTCATCTTGCTCTGGCATTAAATCTCGTCGATGTAACCTAGAAAGTGAGTGTTGTTTATCGGCTATCAGATGAGCTGGTCGAACAAAAGTCTTAACACTTTGCTCAATTTGTGCAAAGCCGTTCCTTAAATACATTGCAAATCGTGTTATCCATTTCAGATTCTGAAAAAGGCGATCTGCCGAAATGGATAGCAGATAAAGAATTTTCAAAACTGCGGTCACTTCTCACAAGCAACATTAATGCTTCGTTTCTTTCGACACAATGTTTTCGGTCTCACAGGAAAGCTTGCCGAAAAATTGTTTTTTTCTCGTGACATTAATCACGCCGGTAAGCTTTGAAACAACTCATTATATAATAAAAAGGAGCACAATATCATTTCCAACTTTCGCAAAACCGCGTTTCGCCTCGATTTAAGCAAAGTCGCGCGAGTCGAATTTTTGTCGCCGTTTTTCTGTTGAGTTAAGTGACATATGCAGTAAATCGCCACTCTTAACGAATTTCCAGGCACATTACATTGAGACTCCTTTTGGAATCTTAATATGTACAAACGCACACATCTTCTGTACTTCGGGGATATCCTGGACGTCGCTAGCCATAAAGATAAATGTGACCGCATCTTTAGAAGCAGTGTCCGGGCAAAAACTCGATCTTGTGATTTTCTGCTTACCCGGGCCTATTCGCTACGCTGAATCCGAAAATGCACATTGGAGAGAGCGAAAATGGCGAAAAACGGCTTTCACGGGAGGGAAATCAGCAGGTGGGCGGGGTCCTCCCCACTGAGAATTCACGCTCCCAGCT